TAAGACTAAAACGGAAATTACAGTTCGTTATAAAATTCATCTACAAAATTGTTAAAATAAAACAAAGAAATTTGACGTCACCTTTTTACTGATGACGTCACTGAGAATATGTATAATTAATGAACTTTTACGGTTTGCGTGTCAAAATTCGATTAACGCTGATGATGATAACGTCGCGACGTTACCGACGCATCATAGCAAATAGTAAACGCTATTCGGTTTATGTGTTGTAGTTGCATTTTATAATGATTTTAAATCACTAATTTTTATTTCTAGATATATTTTTGTAACACGCATATTCAAAAAAAATGATTAGTTGACTTTTTAAATAATATTAGGGTAAGTTATGTTTTAATGGAATGTGTAGAATAGGTCCGGAACACTTTCAAAAATTAAGTTGAAAAAGTTCTACTTTCTATATGTATTTTTAAGTTTTTAACCCCCCCCCCCGTATTAAATTAAATAGTCCGATTTAAAAAAAATTATGTCGAATGAAATAAGTATATAAATATTATTTCTCATAAAAAAATTCTATTAACCCATACATTTTTCAAAAAGTTATAGCATTTTAAAATTAAAAATACAAAATCTAAAATCGATAATTTTCACACAAAAATAGCATACGGTAACCATTTTCACCTTGAAGACAAAATAATGTCCGAAATTTTTTTTTTACGTTGAATGACGGAATCTTTTTTCAATTTTTGAGGGTAATGTGATATTTTGACGTATTGCTCATCGAAATCGGTCCAGCGAGAGCTGAGATTGGGCGTTCACAGTCACAAAAAAAACATTAGAAATTAATGGTTTTAATTTTCTGTATGAAGAATGTTGGTTAATTATTTATTTCATAATAGGGAGTTTTTTTATAATTTTTGATCATCACACATGTTGGTAGATAAAATGTGTTTAATTTTAAAGAAATTGGTAGATTATTTCAAAAGCAACAATAACTCTTATTCCCTTAATTTTATCTCGATTAGTTATTTGATTTATAATTATAATATATGAATAAATAATAATTATATCAATTAAATTTAGTATGAAATTGATATTCAATAATTTAATATTGTAATATTTACGGAGATATTATAAAAATAATTAAGTAGTTGAATATTTCTTACTTTTAACGCGTATAAAAATTTAAAGGGCTTGATGCAATACTTTTCAATAAAAAATATTTGTTACAAAGTTATAAGTTTTACACACTGAACTACAAGGAACATTCATCAGAAACAAAAATATACTTTTCTGAATCAACTTTTCGCAATGTTTTCAAATGTGCAATTAGATTTTTCTAACACTTCTATGTTTTAATATTATTACTTGTTATTAAAAATTAAGTATTTACATATAATTAAGAACAAAAATAAATTGTTATAGCAATATAAATTTAAAAAGTATAAAATCGAGAATTTTTCACGGAAATCGTAAGTTTTTCTTTAACTTTGATGTCCGTTTTCACCACGAAGACAAGTGTAGAGGTCCAATTTTTTTTTCAAAATAAATTATATTACATAAGCTTTAATTTAAGGTATATATAAAAGTGTCTGTCTTTCCGAAACACTTTCAAAAGTTAATTTTTTGTGAAAAGTTGTCATTTTGAATCCCTTCCTGTGGGTATGTTAAGGGTCAATTATTCACAAAAATATATCAAATGATAAATAAATGGCTAAGGTATCTATAATAAAAAATTATATTGATTCGATAATTTTTAAAATAGTTATGGCAGTTTTAAGTAAAAAAAATTGAAAAAATGTCGAAAATTGGCGATAATATAATAATGAACTAACGAAGGTCAGAATAATCGAGTTAAATAGTTATGTTACTCTTTTTTTTTGTTGATAAATTCATACTTACAAATTTGATACACGTTTGCCATAGAGGTAACGAATATACAATAACTTTATAGTTGTTTATAATTTCTGTGTAAAAATTATATTATAAAATATAGAATACCAATTCCATATAAAATTTAATTTCTATAATATGTATTTAATCATGTATTATACTTATACATCATAAAACTAGTTGTAAGGATATAATTAAGGAAATAAGAATTGATGTTGCTTTTGGAATAAACCAACAATTCCTTTTATTTGCATAAAATCGTTAAATGATAGTGATTTTAAAAGCTTCTTATCATACTTTTCCCACCTATACCGCTTCCACAATATTCTGAATTTTTTCATTGTTACTACGCCCCTCACTCCTTTTAGCCAAATTTTAAATAAAAGACAGGCGTAAGATCTTTTATGTTCTTAGTACACCACTGAATCGATATCGCTACAAAAAGCTTTTTTTTGGTAATTTTTTTTGTAGTTATAATAATGTAAGCCCCCCCTGGTAAATAAACTTTAAATTATTTTAGCCCCTATAAACTATTTATATGGATTCATTGTAATTATGTTTGTGTAACTATTTATTGTACAATATTAAAATTAATCCATTTTTTTCAAATTAATCAAATATTAAAAAATTAATAAATAAATTGTTAATAATCGTGACTGCAGAACCTTCTTAGTACTCGGCCGGGAGCCGTTAGCTTATCGGTTGTAGGCACAATGATTACTAGCTCACTATGTTGTATTACAGTAGTACAATAAGCCAATCCGTTCCTGCATTATACTTAAATTTTTGTTTTAACGAGATTCAAGTTATCATTTAACTGTTAAGAAAATTATACCATGGTCAGTATATAAAATCTACCATTAACTGCTCTAATCAGAGTAGTTTAAATACTTACTACTTGAAAATCAGATAAGGTTGTAAATAATAATTATCTATAAATGGTCCTTTTTTTTGATCAATGAAAATAAATCTATTATAACTATTTTTATTTTTTTCATGCAATACAAAATATCTATATACAAAAAAATAGCTCTGAGATGAAGTTGCCCAACTTGTCTCCTGTAAATACGCCACTTTTAAAAATTCATATAAATCAAAAAGCTATTGCTAAAAGAGCACTGAAAATAAATATAAAATTATCTTAATTATATATATATATATATTTTATTACAATTAAAAACTAGCAGTTAATGTAATTTATACAAAATATTATTAAAATGTACTGCTATCAACAACATAACTAAACGACTCTCAATATAATACATTTTATGAGGCTAACTGATTTTTATCGTATGTCATTATAAGCTTTAAAGTTTGGTGTTTTTTATATACGAAGAAGTTTCTTTTAATTATTTTTTTCATTTGCTTTCACTTTTCAGTTCCTAGTAAAAGATATTATTATATAAAATAAAATTTAAGCGTTTTGTGACTACAGCTTTCTTTAATCCAAAATCTAATTCAACTTGTTTGCCGTTTTAATCAAAAGACAACCGCCCTTTATGCTTTAATGCAACCAAAAATTATTCGAAACGTTTACAAAACAACATTTATTTAGTGCTTGTCATATTTAGTTCAACTGTTATTGATTCGAACAGCTTTTTATTCACATTAGTGCAAATCATCTAATTATATTCTGATCACGTGATAAAATGCAATTTAATACGGGTGTACATAAAAAAGTTGTAGCGAAAAACCCTAATCCGATTGCTGTATCCTGTGCTCCTTTGTAAATAATTCTATCAAAGAAAAAAAAAAGTCATACTGAAGTAACAGTAGATTATATTTTCTTTGTAAAATTTCCTCGCAGTTTTTTTGACTCTTTTATATATATTGTATTATTCCGACTTTCGACAAGTACAATATATTTTCTTTTAATTTATCTTATTCTTTATAAAAACCTAGTTGTATACGCAAGTGTCGTATATTACAAAATGCATCGTGATTCTACGTACAACGGGTTTAAGTTATAAGATGGAAAAAAGGAATGTTTTCATTTCAAATTCCATTAGCATTGCTATTCAAAAAATCAACCATCGATTGACACCAAACCGAAAAGCGAAGGAAAAACGGTAAAAGGGTAGTCTTAAAATATTTCAATAGATAATATGAAACTGGGGTATGACTCTGAATTGCAGAAAATTAATAATCTAAAACTGAAATTTTTAATGCGTACCTGACCTACCGTAACATACGTTTTAGAAGATGCTCCGAGAAATTTATCACCTGATACAATTTGAATTATCAAATTATGCTATTCGTTATTTTAATTACAGTAGCATTTTTTTTTTTTTTTTTTAATAATAAACGCCTATTAGGCATAAAGTACAGACAAAATTAATACAAAAGAGTATACATATAGGTTTAACAAAAGTATAACAAGAGTGTAATTGTTAAATTTTGTTAAAAAATAAATGTAGAATTCTTTATTTAATTCATTATCATTATTATTATTGTACGGTATTTCAATTATTACAACAAGACTATTTGAAAAAGTTGAAAATATATTTGTTCTTTTTAGTGGATAAATAAAAATAATACTAAAAAAAAACATTTAATAAAAGTACTCAATTTAAGATACTCAAAATAAATAAATATTCAAGTTATTAATAACTTCTCTATAACGTTAACAAATATTCGAATATAAAACCGCAATTATAATTTATATTTCAGAATGCTTCAAGTGAATTTCAAATAATAATAATTTATCTTCAATTCTTTTATGAAATTAAATATCACATGTAAAAACCGGGAATGTCATTTTCAAAATTCACTTTTATGAATGAAAAATATACTAATAAACGTTCTTTCCAACGAAATTCTACAAAATCACAATTTACTTGATAGTTGAGTGTAACTGATGAAATGCGGTTTAAGTTGTAAATAGTTACGATATTATAAACAAAAACTTTTTTCGAAACCGATCAAAATCTCAAGTAACAAAAACTTTTGACATTTTATAACTAATCCATCAAATGTAACAAAAAACCACAACAAAATCTCTATTTTACACGTGTAGCACTCATAAGAGATTACTGAAAAATAATCGCTTATGAAAATAGTGGAATATATTCCACTCATCCAATTAAAATTAAAAACTAACATCGAGTTTCAAAAATAAAGTAAAAATTATGTTGTTTCGTACAATTTACCTGAGTGTTTTTCTGAATTCCTTTCTTTTCTTAATTGATGTGATTATATCACAGCAAATAATTCGTTTTGTTTGTTTATGTTTTATACTCGATCGAAAATAACAATAATATTTAGCAGTTCGAAGTCCGATGAAGGACAGTGTGAATACCTGAACTCGCCGTGGAGAACTAAACTTTGCTTGCTGCTTGCCACCACCCGGGCTATTTTATCCATATTGAGAACGCGCATGCGCAGCCCCCTAATGCGGCATAACACTCATGGGTTATTTTTTTTTAAGTTCAGTTTTCACACGATAATACCTCGAAACCAAAAACTACTCTGCAGTCGGTGGTCTTTAATATTTTATCCGTTCACTTGATTCACGTTATTGTAACGCGTTCCCGTTTTAATTATAATCCAAAAAATTGATAAAATGGGGTGAACATTACACCTCCGCCGTGATCAAGATAACTATTAATGCAAACAAGTAAAACTGAAATAATAACTATCGCCACTTATTCAAAACTTTCAAAATTATAGAACACAGTTTATTCCGTTTTGTTTTTACGTTTTAATGATGCATTTTCAAATTAACACCACAACTGTGTTAACGCCAATCTTGCGTTTTATGAGATATTATGTACATACAAATATCTACACCCTTCGGAGGTCACAACAATGTATAGATTGAACAAATCAGCAGGGAATATATTATTAGTTTGTATTGAGTTTTCACCATAGGGGTTAGTCACGTAAACTGGTGGAAACTGATAAATCCAATAACCGCAGAGTTCGATTTATTGTTGTACTATACGAAATTCAGAAAAAATGATTTTTTGGAGCAACTACAAGTGACGTTTATTTAAATTTATCATTCTTTTGCAGTTTTTATTACGTTGTCATCGAAAACCGCATTGTGATTGAATGTTGCCGCCTGTGTATTATAACGATTACCTAAAACTACAATCACTACGATTGTGCGCTGGTCTCTTGTGTATTATGTGCCTTCATTATCAGCCGCAATCATGTGATATTATTTCGTTTAATTAAATTTCTCTAGATATTAAGTCGTAAGTCCTCAAGAGTAAGTTTATTGACACATATCAACTGTTAAGTTTAATAAGATTCTTGAAAAAAATAATAAATAAAAATGATTTTTCTTTGAAGCCAGTAATTCTAGTAAAACGTATCGAAATTGAATCGACGACCGAAGTGAACGATAAATTCCCGTGGGGTTTAAACCAAATATTTTTAAACCGTCGAGAGTAAAGGTTATTAATCCCTCAAATATCATTTTTATAGTGTGTGGAAAACGAACAAAAACTTATTTTATTTAGTTGGTATACAATTAAAAAAAAAAATTAACAAAAGCGTTTTTCCAATTAAGATAAAATTATAGAAGTTTTAATTAAGTGTATAACATAAACGACGCACAAGACTTAATTAAAAGTTGTGTAATTTTAACAAAATTAAAATTAAGATGGATTAAAATTTGTCTATAATAAGAATTCTTTATTTTGTATTAACTAATATAAGTAAAAATAATTTTAAATAGAATGAACAATTTAGGCTTCGTACATAGTCGAGAAGGTACGTTTTACTACGTCGCATTCAATGGCGTATTAAAGGTTTCATCGCCCCGAGACAATTTGTATTTGAGCCCCCTGTGAAATATTTTGAAGAACAAAAAAAAGTCGTTTAATAATTTTTTTCAGCTAAATAATTTCTGGTTACCCCACTACTATAACCCTTAGATATCTCACTTAAAAATATGCATTAATGTAAAAAATAACATACACTTTTACTCGAGTTTTATCGGGTTCTTCGACGTTTCCAAAAGTCTAAAGGGTATCGTTCTCGTTGTGCCCTGAAACAACTGTCCCAGATAGTCCTACTCGCACTGATCATGTATTTTTTTTATTTCTGTCCATATGAATACATCACTCGTACATTTTGCTCAACAATATATCAAAAGATTACAAATCATATCTAATAGAATCTATCAACGACATAGTTTGAAAAAATTCCTTTAATTCTCATAATAAAACAAAATTTACCAAAAAATTATAATTATAATAAAACAGTCGACATTAATATTTTTAATTGCATTAAAACGTCATTTTAAAACCTTAACAGATCAATACGAGAATTGTTTAACAATATTTTAGAAATTTATCATGCTGATGACAGTGTTTTATTGGAAATGCAAACATTAACCAAAGTACTAAGGGATTAAACATCATGTTAACATTTCATTCTACCCAATTTTAGTTAAAGTTAACACAATTTAATTTGAGATGGGGAGAAGAAACTATCCAAAACTCAATACCTGTGAGTTATCAGCCAATTAGTCTAAAAATCATACCATTTTCGATAAAAATGGTCGATTTTAAAGTGTTTTATTTGTTACAGAAAATCTACATTGAACACATAAAATGAAAGCATTTTTCTTCTGTGAGTTGTTAAAATATAATATTGCGAAATTTCTATTAAAAATTACCAAATTTTTTCAATAAGCTAAAGCTTTTTTAAAAACACACAAAACTTAATAAAAATGTTATACGTTACATTTAAGACTGTAAAATGTCTATTATTATGCATTTTATAAAAATCTAACCAATACTCTAAATAAAAAACAGTTTAAAGGCAGCAACATACGTATACTAATTTGTTTTTTTTTTATAAAAAATTTGATATTCCGGAACGTTTACATTTTTTGAAACTGAATTCAAATTAAAAATTATTAATTTACTTTAAGATTAAAAAAATTTAAACGTCCCGACAACTTTTTTTTTTTGAGAAATTGGAGCCAAAAGGCAAAATTTGTAAAATTTCCGTTAAAAAATTTCAATATATTTTTCTTAATAATTTTTTTTTTTTTTATAACTAATTAACGTCAATGATTAATTATTGCTTTTAAATCTAAATTATCACCAGCTATTTACGAAAATTATATGGGGCCCCGTATATAGATAATAATAATAATATATAAAAATAATTTTTGCCACACTTTTACAAATACACTGTGTATTTACATCAAATTCAAATTTAACAATTTGTTAGTAAACATAAAGTTAAATTCAAATACTTGTACAATATTTATGAATCATATTTTTTTCATCATTGCTTTTAAAATAAATAATGTATAAATGCTATCAGTTTGTGTATTTGAAAAGATTGAATATTTCTTATTACTTAAAGAAAATTTAAAACTAAAAATAAAATTGTTGTATTATTACAATATTTATAGATACCAATTTAAACCCGTTGCTTGTTCTAAGCGTCACCACAAAACTGAAGACATGGGTATAATTATAATTATTCTAAATAACATTATGTTACTAATTAAATAATTTGTATGCTGTATTCTTGAAAATTGTCCTTTACACAATTGTATTATAATTTTCACTTGTTTAATAAATCCTTTTAATGAATATTTTAATTGTAAACGCTATTCTATATACCGAAGTTTGTCTAAGGAAACTAGCTGACTAGGGAATTCTATCATTTCAACTTTTACTGTCATTCATTATCCTTGGAGAACGTTATCTAAGAAATGTATTCATATAAATTGTATTTTTGAAAGATATTATACTAAAAAATATCATTATGATATTTTAAGATTAACTCAAAGCAGTGTAGTTAATTATTAGGACCCTTGTGACAAATAACGATACAGAATCCGTTTTTTATCTTACAATTATTTTTACAAGTATTTTAATACTATTTTTAAATTTATAAAATACTATATTTTAATGAAACTTTTCATAAAAATGTATTAATGTTAATAAATCAGCTTGGCTATAACTGATTTATTATAACCAATGTTAGTTTACTTACTAATTTCATTGAAATTCGATAAACAAAGATATAAATATTTTTTTTAAGTATTAACCTTAATATAGTAAGTATACTTTAAAAATGTGAGTGTAGGATTTCCCAAACAAATATTTAATTATACATAAAGTAGTAAATAAATATTTCATAATTTTATAAATCATTTATAGTAATTTAATTGAACATAAATTGTTCAATATTCTGTAAACACGATTTAACATTGTTTATCTTAAATGCTTTAATTATAAACGTTATTTCAATTTAATTATTTAATATTGTATAATATCCAATACATCAACAAACAGTATATGTATCAGCTACCGATGGTATTTGAAAGTGATTAATAATGTTGAGTCATTTTTACTTCCTACTTTTCTTCTTTTTTTATTTTCCATTCACGTCAAAAACCGTGAAGATTAGAACGCTAAGATACTTAATAATCATGAACGTTTTGGATATCGGCAAGACTTATAAAAAGAAAATTATTTATTTCATGCAACATTAAACATTTAATATACTTTTTAAAAAATCTTGGCATTGAGCGCGTGTCAGTACTTCTAAAAACCATAGAAAAAATTTCATTGGGGGATAAAATGCTTAATATTAATTAAATTAAAAATATACTCTAAAACCTAACAAAAATAAGAAAAAAAAAATAGCTAACGATGATAAACATGCCATAAATGCTTATTCGACTATTTGCAGTAGGCTTTACATTTTTTTCTGATCTAATTATAGCACAATATAAAAAAACTTTACACATGTGGTACTTGACTAAAAAAACATTATAACGTAAACTCTTAAATTGAAAACCTTCACTTATGTTCACGAGAAACAACGCGTATTCTCAATGATTGGTCACAAGTTTATGTTTCCTTTTAATGACAATTCCCTGGTACAAAATAAAAAAAAAATTAAATAACAACAGTTTTTAGATTAAACTTTAAATGTCTTTTAAGCTATTTTATATGTCAACAATGATTATTTCTGCTTTTCAACAAAAGAGATTACATTCTTTCGTGGCAGATGTTTAATTATTAAACTCATAAAGCTATAGACATGAAGTGCAAAAATGTTTTTAAGTTAAAATAAATTGTGTAATAAATGTGAAGCCGAAATGTTAAATTGCAGGGTACAATAAACGACAGCTAAATTAAAATTATTTTTATATCTTAGTTAACGTGTAACATTTCTAATTTTGATAATTCTTTTGAAAAATAGTACCTGCTTTTTTTCAGTCTTATTTAGTTAGCATTTAAATTATAATGATGCCTTTGTTAAACCTTTATAATGTCTATTGAAACTTAAATAATTCTTTTTGTACCTCTTACAGGAAGATTGTTTTTAATAATGCTGGAAAAATATATAAAAAAAACTCAGCACAGTGGGGTCGCGGCACAATAGGGACGTGGCATAGTTGGGTCAAGTATAATAATATCTGACAGTGATTAAAATCACTATCATAAAAAACGCTTCGATGCAAATCTATAGATAGTGTTTAATTTTAAAAAATTGGTGAATTATTCCAAAAGCTACATGATCTCCAATTCCCTTATTTATATCCTGATTACAAGTTTTATGATTTATAAGTGTAATATATTTATAATATATAAATATATAAAGGGAAATGGTGTTATTTTAAAATAAAGTATGTCGAATGAAAGAGGAATAAATATTATTTTTCATAAAAAAATTGTATTGATTCATACACTTTTCAATAAGTTATAGCATTATAAAGTTAAAAATGTAAAATATAAAATCGATAATTTTCACACAAAAATAGCATTCGGTAACTATTTCCACCGTGAAGACAAAATAAAGTCCAAACATTTTTTTCCATAATGAAGTATATTACATTATCTTTAATTTAAAATATATATAAAAGTGTCGGACTTTCCGGAACACTTTCAAAAGTTAAGTTGAAAAAATTAATTTTTTGTGAAAAGTTGTCATTTTAAATCCCCCCCTGTGGACAAATAAAGGGTCACATTTATAAAAAAAATATAATAAATGAAAGGTAATGACATCATGCATCTACAAAAAAAATTATATTGATCCATACATTTTTCAAAAAGTTATGGCAGTTTAAGTAAAAAAAATTGAAAAAATGTCAAAAATTAGCGATTTTTAAATTTGTAATTTTTTTGGAGATTTCCCCCATTTACGGGGAACGAGATAAATTTTTTCAATTTTTAGGATAATGTCTTCTACTAGATACGATTTGTGATTTTTTGACGTATTGTTTAAAGAAATCGATTTGGTGAGAGCTAAGAAAAAGTGGTAAAAGAGAAGAAAAACACATCATAGTAAAACGAATATCTTCTCAGTTTCGTTTTGAAGCTAAAATGAATTTAAATTACTTTACAGCTAAAAGACGAGTTTCTGATTTATTAGTTTGAAAATTTCTATATCTTCAATTGAAAGTCTTATACATCATTGTGAAAAATGATAGATGTGACTAACGATTTTAAATTTACTTTTTGATATTCAAGTATTATTTGTCAACTTAAGATTTCAATGCGCTTAAATATACAGCAAGAAAAAATTCGTTTTTGAAATTAACATATAGTATTACATCTAAACTCGGAACCATCGAATGAACTTTTAAGATTCTACATACATTTTAAAAAACATTTATACGACATTTCTATTTCAATATTAACTATTGAATGCTCTAAATACAATTCCAGAATTTCAAAACATTATTTCCAATATTTGTTTTGATAAATTAAATATAAAAATAAGTATACAGATATAATAACCCATATTTCTTGAACTTGAAGATCCAAATAAAAAATATGTAAATGACGAGCAAATTGCTTGAAAAACAGTTGTATAATATCGATCAAAAAAATTAGTTAAACGTAAAAAACACGACTTAAGAAAAATGGCAAACTTTACTTTTTTTAATATGTAATGTAGTTGAATTCAAATTTGTATATATTTTTCTTATTCATACATCTAAAAAATACATAAATTAAATATATAATAAATATTCTTAATAAGGACGGTGTCACAGAGACGGTAACACGACAGTACTAAATGCGCACTGTCTCGGGTTCCCAATTCGGTCACAGGCGGCTTCATTTGCCAAGTGAAAGGATTAGTTCAGTAATGGGAGTTGCTAACCCTCTCTCCGGCGACGGACTTACCACTCGTTCAGGAGTATCAAAGGTTAAGAAAACCTCCTCCTTTTTGTAGGTGGCCGCTATAGCCCTTAATGGGCTTAAAATAAAGATAAGATGAATAAAAATATATTTATATATTGTTACTTCCTTAAAAATTGTAACTATCGAATTCGACCAGTTCTTTTACAAATATGAAATGGTAGAAATAATTTTAATAGTATCGCCTAATGACTAACACTTTGTTGGATGAACTTCACTGACAACTGTAAATAGATAACAAAAATAATACATAACTCGTAATTAATGCATATGTTTAAAGCAGTATAGTTAATGTAAAATAATTTTCATTATTGTTACTTAATATTTTTAAAGTTATTAATACATTATTTTTATTCATCCATATTTAATAGAAAGCAAACAATTGCTTTTTCAGTATTAAATTTAGGGCCGCATTTAGTGGGTAACAGGTAAGCGTTCGTTCATCCTGATTTTTTAGTAGTTCCAAAAATAGTATATTTTTCTAAAAAATATAATAATTATTAGCCAAAATGAACGTTATCATAAAAAGTTTTAAGTATTATAGCCAACTGGAAAGTTCTCTCGCTTTACACAAAAAGGAAATAACGGCACTGATTAAATTAGCCATTATGGATTACTATTATACGTTAAAAATCTCATCGTTAAGTCTAAATTTAAAATGAATCATAAATAATGTATGGTAATATCGAATAATTTATTGTGAATGTATCAAAAAATTAATAAATTTCTGGGTCAATGCAATTCTTAAAAATATTAGTGTTGTTATATCAACAAGCATTAAGAGTTCATTTACTAATAATCATTATACACCCACATTTATTATTAATTTATAAATATTAGTTACACAAAAGCAATACATGACACGGTCATGTGCCACAACTATCAGCAGTCGCTCTACTACATGAATATGATAGTTTGACTAACACAGTGTGCCATACGCCACAGTACAAAGTCCGACAAGTGCCGCACAACCATAGATCTTATAAACATGGACAGGACGTTCATAATTGAGGCCGTTTGTTCACATTTTAATTGTGATAAGCGCATAAGATACTGTTTTTTAATTTTGTAATAAGTTATAAATTATAACTTATAACTTTTACATTATTATAAATAACATAACTCATAGTAATTATTTATAACTGACCATAAATAATAAAAAGTAAAATCTTATCAAGTAATAACGCAAACAAATAGCCTCAATTTACTATCACCATAGTCTTCACTAATAAAGCAACAATGTCCTTATTCATGTTTATAAGATCTATGCGCACGACAGAAGGCATCTCGCCGCAAACATACGTTAAGTCACCTTCGTGATTGATACCGAGTTGTCCGCGTCGACGGAACGCCCGTAATTTAATTGTGTCCATCTTTATCATACATTACTTGTTTTTTTTTTAAATTTTGTGTCGTACACACTGGTACACCAGGTACTTAGTCTGTTATTGATTACTCTGATTATTTTATTGTGTCACTGAATATTGTTTGATTTGTAATCAAAATAAACAGATCCGACGCCACTTAGAAATAGGAAATTGTGTTGGCTACGTCATTTGTGCATCCCACCCAGTGGCGTATTTAGAAATTTATAATGGTGGTGGGGTGCACAAAAAATATTTCTCAATAAGGCACCAAAAATGAATTTTTTTTTTTGTAAACATATTTTAGATTTTTTTGACAAAAAAATCTGTTATTTGTTTTGAATCCATTTTTATTAATAAAAATATTTCTTTCTATACAGAGTGTATCTCTGCGTAATAAACACTTCAAAAATAGGTGATCATATTAACGGGACAATTGTGCGGGCATCAAATTTTGCTCCACAAGACAACTATATCGACTAACATTTCTTAAACTCATGTTATTATCGATAACCAAAAAATAACTTTTTCTGATGTTATACATTATGACATTGCATGATAAAATATTTACATGACTCAGTTAATGGAAGGGGTATATGCCCCTGTGCCCCCCTCTAAATATGCCACTGATTTCACCCTATCATACGATGTTTATACATGCAATATACAGTACATATAGATACAATATACTATGTGTATTCGATACATAGAATTACTTAAAAGACTTAATATACAATAAAAATTTCAAATTTGAAAATAATCAAAAAATATTCTTCATTTTCAATTTTAGAGAAAATTTAAAATTATTGAATGAATAATTTTAAATAAATATATGATATAAAATAATACTTTATTAGTTATACATATTATGTGCAACTTACTGAGGTACAGATAGTGTAAATGCGGTTTTCTTTATAACTTTATGAAAATTGAAAAAAAAATGTATTGTAGTAAGATTTAAACTAAAGGTTGGCAATATAGCAGTCCTCTTTTTCTTTTGTGTAAATCCTTGACTACTCAAAAAAACTAAATAAAAAATTACTATTTTATACGTATTTGTTGTATTAGTGCATTCTATTATTCATCAATATAAAATCTAAAACTTTTACTAAACGAATAAATGAATGATTTCTAAAAACATCAAATAAGTACAAAAAATGCATTAAATTGCATTTATAGTAAGCTATTAAAAACTAAAAAATATTTTAAATCTCTTGAATTTATACATCATTCTACCAATTTGAAAATATTTAACAATATTAGACATCCATAACTGTGTAAAATTATATGATCAAATTTTGGTCATTATTTTTCTGCGGTATTTTTTCAACAACCGTTATAAATTTATGTTACCATGTACACATTTTATCAGTAAAACATTTTTAATTCTTCCAATCATGGATTGTTTTTGCTTTAAATATAAATAGGTTTAAAATTAAAACTTATTTTTGAGGTTGTTGTAAAAGCATCGACACACATTGAGTACACATCACACTGTTTACACTAACATGANATTATAAATTTATGTTACCATGTACACATTTTATCAGTAAAACATTTTTAATTCTTCCAATCATGGATTATTTTTGCTTTAAATATAAATAGGTTTAAAATTAAAATTAAAACTTATTTTTGAGGTTGTTGTAAAAGCATCGACACACATTGAGTACACATCACACTGTTTACACTAACATGAATTAAACTGATAACATAATGATAAAGTCAAGATATTAATGTAGAGAATGCCGATAAATAGTAAAACATTAAACGTAAATTTAATTTAAGTTTTAATCTGCTATTTTGTTTCATTGATAAAACTTTTATTTTGACTAATAAATATGCATGAATTCGGTTATTCTGATCGTCAACGATTATAAGCATTATTTCAAAATTGTTTTGGTTGTTTTTTAAATAATACGGAGCTATGGCAAACCACTATGATGTACCAAATTGGTAAGAAAAGTAATCAGTGGCTTAATATCTTAGCGTGTCTTATATGTATACCTTTATTTAAAATGCAACAGTATATATCTCAATTTTTACAGATTTTCAGAATGATCAAAAATAAATTTGAATTATACATATTTTAATATAAGAGGTGATTTTATTATCATAACGTGCATTGAAACTATGAGTCTTACAAAAAATGCCTAAAACACTTATTATATCATTATTGATAGAAATAAAATGTTGTTAATTTTTAAACACTGTTGCACTTTAATCAATATTTATGTATAATTCTCAAAACCTTAATTAAAATTTTTATTACTGTTATACTTCGTATTAATAATTTAGAAATTAAAACAAATTTAAGTATATTATAAGATTCTTTTTCCATTTTTTCATGGAAAAAAACAATTGCTATTGTTATTAATCAAAATTTAATATTTTTATAGCTAACATATGACCTATGTTAATTAATGTCTCTAATCCAATACTATTAAATTTGAAAAATATATTTTGAATTAATAATTTCATATATACAGTAACAACACCCAAAAGCTGCCTTAAAATTTTTTCATGAGATGGATAACATTTTTATTAAATATTTGGTTTTACTATCTTCTCAATAGACCCAGTGTTGAAGGGGGTAAAACCAGGGAGCCTCGCTATATGTATAACAAAAAGATTAGCCTCGCAGAAAAAAAAATTATAAATAAAAGAATTTCTGGTAGTTTTATGTATTATTTATAAAATATATAGTGTGTCTATAAATTTAATATTAAAAACCAAACCTTTATATCAAATTTATAAAAAAAACTATGGTCCTTGTCTTATCATTTATAATATAATTTAATAAAAATAAAAATTTTTTATTATTTTAATTTAATAAAATTTTATAATACACAAAGATTGTGAAAATTGACCGAGCAAACAGTGAATGAGGAACAACTGCCCCCTTTTCCCCCTTAAGACGTCTATGACGACACCAATCATTAGCAGTTTACTAGTGTTTGACTATTTTTAGATTCAATATGTCATCCAACTAGTTTTTGTTAAAGCTCTTAAAAGTAGACTTTACTAAAACTGGTTAGTATATCAATGAATGTTGCCTTTACCCTAGTTTTTAACTTAAAGTCAATGTATCAAATTTAAACTCATTTTTGGTATTTTTAAAATCTTTGATTTATATTTGTATTATAGATTGAATATAGTTTATAATTGATAGTATCTTTATCTAAAATATTTTTTTAATTTATAGGGCTGGAAAGCCACCAGTAGGTCTTCATTTAGATGTATTGAAAGGCGATAAATTAATTCAAGTAAGTTTGTTTACATAGTCATCATAATCTTTTTTAAAAACATCGCTTCTTTTAGAAACTTATGCTAGACCAAAAAAAGTGTTACTTATTTGGAAGAAATGCTCAAATGTCTGACTTTTGTATTGATCATCAATCATGTTCAAGAGTACATGCTGCTTTTGTCTACCATAAACACTTGAATCGAGCTTTTTTAGTTGATCTAGGTTCTAGTAAGCTGTTCATAAAATACTTTAATATGGCATAAATTATAGTTCTTAATATTTATATGCATAGCTCATGGTACATACATTGGGAGTATAAGAATTGAAGCTCACAGGCCTACACAACTACCAATAAATAGTCAATTTCATTTTGGAGCTTCTACTCGAACGTATATAATACGAGAACGACCTCAATCTACATCTGCATTTGGTCCACGTCCTATAATGGATCAGTTGGAGAGAGAATCAGACAAATCTTCCAGTCTTCTGGGTTTACCAGAAACCGACTATGAATTAGATGTAAATATAGAAACTTTTATTAATATAAACAATTTTTTTTTTATATTTACTTGTATTAGAATTTAACTGAATTTAACACTGCACAAAATCGACGTATATCTATGCTTGGCATAACTGAAGACAATTTAAAAGGAAAACGGAAAAGAAATAGAGGTGTTCATTTTAATGAAGATGAACAAATAATTAATCCTGAAGATATTGACCCATCAGTAGGCCGTTTTAGGAATCTAGTTCGAACTACTGTTATACCTAATAAAGTAATAAATAGATAAATATAATATTGCATAACTTAAAATATTAAGAATAAATTAAAAATATTATTTCACTAAATTAACATTTGTATATTATTTCAGAAATTCAAAGACACTATGGGTTTTGCAGTTGATCACAATAATAGCAATAACCAAAATAAAAATTTTATGAAACATATGGTACCTGGTGGGCATCTAGGTGATTCACTTTATGGGGATTTACCAGGTAAAAATAAAAATTCATATTTCATCAAAGAAGATGAATTTTAATCTTCTATTTTATTAAAAATATTTTTTTTAGGTGAAAATGAGGAAAAGCAGTCGGGATTTTTAACATCAATAGGAAACCGTTTAGGTATGAATCTACCAAATCCTGCTCCAGAGGTTGATCTAGATCCTAATATAGAGGAAGTAGTAGTACCTAAACCAATAGTTACTGAAAAGGTAGAACTAGTTTCTACAGAACCTAAAAAGAAAAAATATGCCAAAGAAGCATGGCCTGGAAAGAAAAGTGCTCCAGCTTTACTTGTTTAATGAATGTCTATTTTATTTCTGTATTAATCATACATATTTTAATATTTGTTTTTATATTATTAAATAATATAAAAACAGAATTTTACTCAAAATTGTTATCAATTTAAAACATTGATATTCAAAATTATCAATTATTTCTAAAGGTCAATCAATAATATTCTGACTGGAATCATTTTTGTATTGTATTCATTTGACTGAAGTTAGTTTGATATTTATGAAACACTTTAAGTTAATTTTTTTTTTTATTCATTAAATAAATATAATTGTATATAGATTAAGATGTTTGAATGAATTACTAATTTCAATTATATTTTTTTTTCTGCAAATGTACTACACAGCATTCAACTTATAAATAAAATTAATTTTTTACTCATTTAATGTTTGTATTTTGCCCATATTTAATAATTGTTAGCAGAAAATATGTTACATTTAATTCTTTTTTTTTTTAAGTTAAAATTTTATAAAAAAAAATTGTATAAATGTTAAGAATCTTAAAACTTGGAACATATTTTTGGTTATTTGTGTGGAATATCTCAGTACTATGTTTATTTTAAAGTATTACACAGAATATAATAATAAAAATATACAAATGTGAATGTTTTTAGTGAATTTTTCATTAATGAATTATTTTGTATTATAAACAAATTTGTTAATGTTACATATAACATGTCTTACCGAAGTAAAAGACACAAAAACTTAGTTGTATGACATTTAATGGTATTATTTTTATAACAACACATTTTAGTATGAAATCAGTAATTATTAAAACAGAGAATATAAAAACAGTTCTTGTTAGAAGTCTTAACAAGAATAAATGCAATAATAGTTATACAGTGTTATATTTAATTAACATAAAACTACTAACTACAAGTTATCATGGAAGACTTTCACATTGACTAGAATTACTAAGTAATAAATATGATATCAATTAAACTTAATATACTAGCTTATCATTATATTACTTAAAGAGCTAAATATTATTATTAAATTACTTTAAAATTATATAATCTGTTCTAAAAGTATTTTGAAATTTTAATTTATATAATTTACCTCATATTAAATTTTGAACAAAAAAATAATAGACAATTTAAATTTATTAATAATTTTACATAAAATAATATGACATTCCTGAATTATCATTTTGTCATATCATTAATTCATATCATATAATAATTTATATTTAGTATAAGTTTTAGGAACACATTAACAACACTATTTTTGCTAATTAAAATCCGTATTCAGTCACAGGATTGAATATGGATTAAAAAACATTAGAGGTAAATAATATTACAAATTCATTAAATTGATAATTTCTTGAGAACAAATACCAAAAATGGAAGACAATGAAGTACTTAATTATTAATAATCACGTCATAATGGAAGACATTAGTATTTTCAATTTAAACATTAATTTTCTACTTAAGTTAAAAACGGTTATAACATTTTTATGTTGTACTTATACACCAGATTAATGTGTTTTAAGTATACATATTTGTACATAAATAATGCAAAACAATAAGATATATAATTTAACAAATATTATTAAGTAATAATTATAAATTGTTATTAAAATGAATAACATAACTTTCGTAATTTATGTGCGAGTTGTAATCTACACGAGGAAGACATTAATGTTGTTAGAGTTTATCACAATTTGAATTACAAATAATCAATTTTCTGGAAGACATAAATGGTAGTTAAGTATATTTAATTATAACATAAATTACTAAAACAATCGACTCAGTTATTTCATTGATTTTAAAATATACTTTAAAATCCATGTTTTTTGTCGCATAACAAACAATTAAATCCTATTTATAATCATATTTATTGTTATCTTAATTTATTACATTTTCATGTATAAAAAATGCAAAAATCTATACATTTAACTCCAATTTGCTAAATAACATAATTTAAGTGTTAAAATTACAATATTTGCAAAATAGCATGATAAATTAGTATTATTTCAATAAAGTTCATGATTTTGTTGTCACATTGGTTTTTATATTCAAAAAGTAATAATCGAAACAGGAAAATTGTCAACATTTGAAATGGAAAAATGAAAAAATTACGTGTATTTAAACGATTTCTGGAGAATTTTTCAACAGAAAGTGTAATATACAGAATCTTTTTGTCAGATAATGAAAATTAACATCTATTGTTATAAGAAAAACTGATATCATTAGTGGCGCCGATCCCTATATACACGTATAAGACGGGTGATATAAAGAGGGCATGCTTATCCTAATGAAAGTCTGTAATTTCATGAAAAAGATACCTAAATATTAAGTAATAATAAAAAAATAATAAGGAGGTGGTCGTGTCTCTGTAAATTTTTTTTTATTATGTAATACATATAAAATTAGACATAGCGTCACTGAGTATCATCGAACTAGTGATTTATGTCATGTAATAGCTGAATATATAATGCATGAATAATAATATAATGTAATTGAAAATATGAGTAAATAATTAAAAATAGTGCTAATCAATTTATTAAAACACTGGGTCGCCAAAACACCGAAAAATTTTGTTTAAGGCGTTTTAAATAAATTAGTTATTGAACAATTATGTTATTTTTCATTACCCACAAACATGACAATCACTATACTTGACGTGTTGCTTTTTAGAAATAATTGGCCTTGTAATAAACTAAAAAATTATTATTTTTTATTTTAAATGTACTGTACTCAATATCAGTCTTAGTTTCGAAAAATTCGAAATTTCCGAATCTTATAAAATATTAACTTTGCGTTTTAAACTTATTACGTCTTATTAGATTTTACTTAATCAATATTTTAATTAATTGTACAATTTTATGCTTAAGTTCAACGAATAGTTATTGAAATAGTACAACACAAATATTGTGCGCTTGATAAATAATTTTGATTTGAAATTTAGGCGTTACTATATTTTCTTTTTTTGTTAGCTAACTATGATATTAAAACTGTTAAAATATTTTTAGCTAAAAATTAATCATTTCTTTCATCTCTGTAATGATTTTTTTATCTTTCGATTTATAACTACAGTCGGTAAAATATTTAAAAAAAACGACGATCACAAATAAGTAAACTTTAGAGGTAAATTAAAACGGTAATCCAATTTGGAATGCTTTTACCATAGCGGAACCGGAATCGTAAACGCCAATGACGCCAAATAGGCACCCTAAGAAAATAACAAAGCAGTCAAACATAATCGTTCGCCATTCTAAAGAATCGCCTTTGAGTTTTAGATGAAAGTAACAAGGCCAGATGAAAGACAACATTGTGCCGGTGAAACTACCGATAAACCCCATGAGTATGGCAAAATGTGGTATAGAAATGGCCATGAAAACAGTACCTAATATAATGGCCACGCGAAACGCCAGACCCCAGACTTTTAGCTCACCGTCCAAGTGCCAAATGCTTGGAAACTGCGTGGTCGGTGGACCCTTGAAAAACGACTTTTCCAATATATCACAAGCCGCATAATACGGTAAAGGGTACGACAGAAGTGCCTTGACCACTAAGAACACGTTTACCAAGCCCTTGAACGACGGCGACTGTAAGTTGTTGGTAATCACTTGCTGTGTATCGTTTTGGAACGTCAAGAAACAAATATAACCGAACAGTGACTTGAATATGGCAGCAGCTATATGACTCCAGTCCAACATCCAATCGAATTTGGACCGATCGATTAAGTTGCCTTCCAGCGTCGGCAAAAATATCTGCGACGTATAGCTGAAAACTATGACGCCCAACGATATTGGAAAGTTTTCCACGTCAATGGTCCATTTCACCTTGGACCAACCCCAATCGGGTAGTTCCAGTACACAGTAACCCAGTATGATGATATTAATCAGTATGTGAGACATTGTACACCAGAAGCTTAACAGTGAAACATGGTGCAGATGTTTGAGGAATCCAAGTGGTATCAACAACACCCCCGTGATCAACATCCAGCTACGAGTGTCGATCACGCCGTCGGGAAACGTGCCTTCCATCAGGTCGCCGCACACTACCACGTAAAGTATACATGTCATCAATAACTCGATCATTTGCGCCAAGTTCACAGCTCTACCTCCCCACACCGGACCAAAACACTCCCGAGCTATCGATACGTACGAGTCTCTTACCCGGACCCGTTGTCCAGTATTCAAGTCCAGTTCGTATAGACATTCCACTAGAATCTTACCAGTGTAACAGCAAATATATGCGATTCCGATCATGGCGGCTATAGCCCAATAACCTCCTCTCAGCACGGCAAAAGGCAGTGAAACGATGAACATTCCCTAAAAGAAAAAATCACATGATTTTTGATAATTCAAATTATATATATATTTTTTACTAATGTTATTAACAATTATTTATTGCGAGAAATATTGTTATGTGCACTATAATGATAATAATAGAGAACTGCTACATAACCAATTGTTTTTCAATTACTAATAAAATAACAATAAAAAGTTAATTTATAAAAATCCTTAAAGATACATTAGTATTTTCAAGTCAAAATAATTATTAACACTTTTAAAATAAAATATCCGATAATGCTTGATCTAAATTTTCTTAATTATGAACTCGGCATTTTCTTCTCTCGTCACTGTATAATACGACAAGTTTACTCGATTTCCAAACCCTTTCTTACTATTTTATGGTTAAAGTCTATATACGTTTCTTCCGTACACTAATACACAAAAATCTTGTTACAAAAACTTTAATTTTATAGTTGTGAGATTTTATACAGTTTAAAATGTTGATAGAAACACTGCTCTATCTATTCCAAATAATCTATTTAAAATATAAATGTATGCACAGAGAGTAAATTCTAAAAAAATTGAGGTCCTGTGTAGTTGAAACTAAATGACTTAGTAGGTTTATTAGTCTTGTGTAAATCATTTTCTTATGAATTTAAATGTTTGTTGATACTTAACTCTAAATAGTAATCAATAAATACGTATAATATACATAATATATCGGTTTTAAATATGCATTGTATATTTTCTATTAAAGTGCAGTGTGATATTTACAAATTAAAATCATGTGAAATTAACAATATGATTAATGAAGTGTTAAACGCTCATTTTCTTATAAAATATTAAGAATTTACAATGTATGTATGTATTAAAATTAAATAGTTTAAAAATCTACATTATATTAATACTAATAATTCAATTAAAAATTTTCAAAAAATCTACAATAATATTTTGAACGAATGTTTAAAAAATAAGTTCTTCGTCATTTATATGATTTTTTTGATACTAAAAGTCGCAATTATCTGATACAATGGATCATAAATAATTCTATTAATATTAATATAATTTTAAATCACTTCATTTAGAAATGATGCAACAAATGAACGGTTCAAAGGATTTTTTACAAAATTCATTGTATTACATTTATTACATAATTTTTAGCCAAACAATTTTTCTCTCGTATGAATTAAAAATTCTCAATAGTTTCTAGAAAATGAGTCCCTAACACTTTATTAATCACTCTGTTTATATTGTGCATAAACAACAGTGCCCAGTGAAAAGCGATGAAATCATTTTATAAATTTTCAAGCAAATTTATTAAACTCACTTATTAATTGTAACGACCACAAAAATTCTTAATAAAGACAAGTATACTACTTGTCAAATGACCTAAAAATATTAGTTCATTTTTAAAAAAATATATATAAATAAGTAATTTGATAAATGTTACATTCTAGCGGAAAGACACGTCACGTTGTCTCGTGATGTATCATTAAGGCTTTCATAAGTATAAAATAATGAGTAAAAGGTATAAATTTACAAAATCGTCTCCAGACATTTTAATAAAAGAATTTTGGACGATAACAAACTTCTAAAGCTAAAAATATAATAACGGTTTATACCTGTATGGCGTTAGTGACATTCCAGGCTGCTTGCCATTCGTCGATTTTGTGCCTACCGTGCCCGCCAAATTCGCCTCCGCCAGATGAATCCTCATCGAAGCTGCCGTCCATACTGAAAGTTTGAGGTGTTCTTTTGACTACTCCGTCGCCGGCAACGTCCAGACCCGGGTTGTCCACACCACCATAGGATGATAACTCCGCATTGCACGTAGTTCTGAACGGGTTAGTGTCCGGTTTGCCACCAGCTAGCCTACTCTTTTCAGCTGGTCCCGCATTATCTCCACTAGATTTTTCCTCTCCTGCTCCGCCTCGACGTTTTCTAATCGCCTCCAAGCATGGACTGTCGTCCGGTACGTACGCTCTAAAAGCTGCCCACATGACGTTCATGGCATTATTCAAAGGTGGCACGTAAAACCTTCCGAATTGAGCCATGGCCTTTGTTTTCTACGATGCAGTGATCAAAGCTTTTAGAGCGACGGAATCCTTACTTATTTTTGCTACGGCCACAGCTATTGAGTTTTGTCTAAGTTACACGATAAAAATAGATCACAGTCGTTTTATGGCATTGCAACTCGCCAATAGCACATCGCGTTTTGCGGGAATGGGTATTTATAGGACGGGTATTCGAAGGAAAAATCTCAAAGCTATGTAAATAAAAAACAAACAAAATTAACTTAAAAAATTTATCTCGTCGCTGACGCGAAATTGAAGTGATTAGAGAAAAGTGAGGGGAAGGTTCGACGGCGTGGATCGATGAAAAGCGGGCGACCCCACGACGTTTTAGTACTTGCCACCCTGCAATCTGGTGTCGGAGTTTTCATCTGGGGCGGTACGCCTGTAACATATTTACGGCAGCGGTTATTTGTGGAAAACAGCAGTGTTTGTACACCGCTAAGATAACCTTTAAAAAACTACAAGTGCAGTTTTTTTATTTTAACGGGTATTACAACGAGTGACAAGGCATGTGATAATAAAAATATCGTAATTGTGCAACAAAATTATCGTATAAAACTATAACAATTTAAAAAATCACATTTTTGTGAAACTAATAAAAAACACATTAAACCAATAAAATGTAAAGTTAATTTAACTTGATTAGGTAATTCGTTACATTTTTAGTTTTTAATTTAACTATTTCATAAGTTTCATAACGCATTATTCGGCTTAAAAAATCTAAAACACAAGACGTGTTTTAGATATTGTTTAAGACATTGTTTTAAGCTAAGACAGCTTAAAACAATGTAAAAATAAAATTTACATATTTAATTACTTAGTTTTTAATTTCAATGCGAAGCTGAGAAGGTATTAATTTCACTATGATGTATTTTTTGTGTGTGTCTTATGCCACTTTTTCTCAGTTCTCACTGGACCGATTTTGATGACCAATATGTCAAAAAAACACAAATTGTATCTAGTTGAAAATATTACCCTTGAAAATTGAAAAAATTTCACTCGTTTCCCATAAATGGAGGAAATTTCCAAGGAAATCACAATTTTTAAAATCCGTAAATTTTTTTATTTTCACTTTTTTTTCTTAAAACAACAAATCAACTTAATTTTCTTTTATATTAAAACTTTAAATATTTTCCTTTCATTTGATATCATTTTTTTGAAAATCTAACAGTTAACCTGCTCACAGGAGAGAATTTAAAATAGCAACTTTTTACAATAACTAGCTTTTTCAACTTAACTTTTGAAAATGTTTCGGAAATACTGAGTCTTTTATACATATATAAAATTAAAGCTTATGTCATGTACTATAAAATGAAAAAAAAAATTGTCCCGACACCTTATCTTCTACGTGCAAACGGCTGCCGTAGTTAAAAAAATGCTATTTTTGTTAAAATTATATTTTCGATTTTAAATTTTCAACTTTAAATTGCTATAACTTTTTGAATAATGTATGTATCAACAGAAATTTTTTTTTTCTAAATACATTATATATTTATTTCATTTAACTTACCTTTTTTTTAAATTGGACAATATCCCTTTATACAGAGTGCGTTAAAAACTTAAAACATACGTATAAAAAGTAGAACTTTTTTAACTTAAAACTTAACTTTAAAACTTGAATTAGTTTAAATTGCCAATATTATTAATCTACAAAAGCGATGAACAGATTGAAAACAATAAAAATTACATAATATGTAATTAAAAAATTATATATTATATTTTTGAATCTAGAATTACTAATCTGGATATATCTAAGAAAATAGAAGTTGATGTTGCTTTTGTAATTATCCACCAATTTCTTAAAATTAAACACAATAGATTTGCATCGAAGCGTTTTTTATGGTAGTGATTTTAATCACTGTCAGATATCATTATACTTGGCCCAATTATGCCACGTCCCCACTGTACCGCGACCCCTCTGTGATGGGTTTTTTGTATAAAACAAAGAACCATTATTGTTAAAAAAATTAAATATCTTTAAAGATATTTCATGAAAAGAAGTTAAGGAATCACATTGTATTACGGGGTAGTTTGGAGGGTTAAAAGCTCTCCTCTGAAAAATTCTTAGGGATGAATCTCAATATTAAAAATATTATTCGATCTTTACATCTAATTATAGTATAGTCAGTGGTTTAAATGGGAAAAACTAAGAGGGAGGACTATAGTTCCTAAAAAATGAGGAGCCACGCCAAATGTCTCCTCTCGAAGGCTAAAAATGATATTGAGAATAATAAGCTAATATACTTACTTAGTAAAAAAAATTATCTCAATAAAGGAATAGATTAGTACCAAACTATAATTTTTTATATTTCATTAAAATCAATTAGAAATGAATATTATACAAAACATCACAAAATCCGTATGAAAACTTTAACTTATTATGAAAATAAATGCAAAACAGTCTTTTTAAATTTTAAATATTATACTACAACAGAAACAAGTTAAGAAAAAAATACTAACATTTACCAATTTAGGTAGGTATCTACATATAAAAATATGAAATGACAAACATAGTAATATAATTTATAAAGTATTCAACAAACTAAAAATATATCAGCAACCGTGGTAGAATCTATTATTATAATACATTTTTATATCACCTTAAATTATTATTTCTATCTCTTTATAACCTTTAATATAATAAATCTTTTAGTGTCATGTGTAGTCATAAATTAATTACACAGTTTTTTAAGTTTATATTAAAGAATTAATTAATTAAACTTTTGAATAATTTAAAAACAAACAAATTGCAACAATTACGTCATGGTCGACTGAACGTCAGATACTTATATTACCACAATCGTATCATAAAATTCTAACCATTTCATTATTTAAATTTTTCTATAATTATTATTTATTTTTATTTTTTAAATTTAACCATTCGAATAATTTAAATTTTAATTAATTAACTTTTAAAAAGACTTACTGAGAGATCTTCTTATCATCTAATTAACAAACTTAAAAATGCATTGCCATGTATACAATGTCAAACCAAATAATAGTTACATTGAATCCAGCGGCGCAACCAGAGAATAATTTCAGGGAGGGTAGGGAGGTTATTAAATTTTTTTTGCTCGACAAAACATTTTTACTCTGCATCGAATTCTAATTTCGAAGAAAATTCTAATAAGTAAAAAACAAAAGATTATAGTAACTAGAAATTTCAAACAACGCTAATTGTTGAGGGGATCAACTCCCTGATTACATCACTGATTAAACAAAAAATGCNACTCCCTGATTACAACACTGATTAAACAAAAAATGCCGACGCAAAGGCAGAGCATATTAATGACGTAAATTGTTTTGGGAGGGATGTGCATAGAAAAATGTTCTATACCACATCCAAATGAAAAAAAAATTGTATATTCTCACGTAACAATTTTTACTTGGAGAATCTGTGCAACCCACTCAACCTAACTCAACCGACTACCTACTGGCACAGAGCCCTATAAAGACAGAGCACCGGTATTGACAAATAAACATAACTTTAATTTGTGAAAAATAACACTAAAGTTAAAATGTCATTTTTCGTATGGTTATTATTTGTACATTACGATTTTTCATAATGACGATAAATATACATATAGATATAGATATTTATATTTTAATCTAATAATTTTCTAATTTTTAAAAGCAAATCAATGTAAAATTATAAAAATTCAAAGGTATGTTTTAAATTTAATTCAAATTATAAAACGCAAAATTAATAAACATGAAACACTATTTTTACTTCAAATTTAGACACTGCTAATAAGATATAGAATATTAAAAACTTTTAGTAATTAATATCTTTAGAGATCTATTTGTTGTAGGACCCATAAAAACTACTTAAAAGTTATATGCTAGGACGACTTTGTAACATTTTATGAGGAATATATTTTTTGGTATTTCAGTCATATATTATTACTAATATAATAACAATTAATTTATTAGTACAAAACATTATTTCTCTTTATTAAAATTGAAAAATTGATAATTTAATAACTAAAAATAATATCACGTAGTAATGATCATGAGAAGTTTGTAAAATTACATTATACAACTTTCAAGTAAAATTAATAAAAAAAAAAAAAATAATTCAAATAAAATTTATAATATTTTATAAAACAATTAAGTTTTAATTAACAATAACAGTAAACTATTAAAATAAAAAATATAATGCTATACATTAAATAACTGGATCAGTTACACAATTTTTATACTTAGAAATAATGTGATATTTAAGCAACCTTTGTTTGTTAATTGCTGAATTTTGAAATTGATAAAAACAACAAATATTTGATAGCAAACTTTCATTTAATGCTAGTGATGGAAACTTTTGTATAGCATCTTCTAACAAAGCTATTGCATTATTTAATTGACCTTCATAAAACAAACATGTCGCCATGTTGTTCAAGACCTAAAATAAAAAATAATTTAATTTAATGATTGAATGTTATTTTTATATACAAACAGTAATTTGCATTTTATTATAATTAAAAAGTTGAAAGAATTTTCAAATGGATAATTTTCTAAATTTATAAAATATATTTCTTTCAATAAATACATAAATTTCTTGCATTTTAAGTATTACTTTAAACTAGAATACAAACAAATAAATTTCAATGTATTCGGCAACTTTGGTTTTCTTGTCTTTTTAATATAAGCAATAATTTTTTAGAGAGGACGTTTCACATATAAATATAATCATAATAATAATAATATATTCATTTATTTTTACCATAACTTGATTACAATTTAAGTTATAGGCATTTTCAAAATGTTTATAAGCATCTTTGTAATTATTTTGAGCAATTGATAGAAGTGCAGCATCAATTAGTTCTCTGTAGTCTGGTTTTGTTTCACCAGATGTACCACTAAAATATTTAGTTAAATGTTTTTATTTTTAAAAATCAATCGTATATTTTGTTTTAAATAATAATAATAAGCTATCTGCCATTTACATGGTTTGATTTTTAAGCCGTGATGATTGAAGAAAAAAACTATGAGCTTTAAGATCACCAACTTGTAAGCAAATTCTACCCATAGCAGATAAAAGGGCTCTATTGTGAGTCACTGTGTACTTAAGTCTTGGCTTTTCAATGAGATCTTTTAATAACTGTATTGCTAATTTATAATCCTAAATAAAAAATCATTAATCTATATTAATAATAAATTATTAATAATTTATTTTATGTACATAATATGTTTATCATCTACTTTCTGATTTAAAGCACAATTAATAATAGAATGAATAACCCTAGATTCTCTTGAAAACCATAAAAGTTTAGAAGTATTTCTGTCTTGAGGTGTTAATTCTAGATTTCGACCATCTTCAGTTAATCCATTATTTAAATTTTTTATAATCTAAAATGAAATATCTCAATAAAACTTCATACCAAAAATCTTGTTTTAATTTATTATTTATTTCATACTTTTCTAATAGATGCGAGTACTTCAAATAACTTTTTATAAACATTTGTAGTAGATGTATATTGTGGTAACTCAGCCAAAATTAATCTTAAGCTAAATGGCACTAAAGTTCCAAATTTGTTACTATACAGATCTTTATACCATTGCATATAAAGATCGGGTCTATCTAAATCATCCCAGGCTATTGCTTCTTTGCTCGCAATTTTCCAAGCACAGGTTTTAACTAATAAAGAAAATCTTGTTAGCCATAACTGAAACAATACAAATATTTTATATACTTAATAAAATAAAATCACTAATATTTTACCTGCAATGAATATTTTGTGTGTTTACTTGGATAACCCATTTGCCCTGGACCTTGACCATACATAGCTAAAAGTCTAGTAGTCAAATTTAATGCTTCAGCATAATTACCATCTTCAATCAATATTTTTAGACCACGATCATCCTGTGAGACTTCTTCAATAGTTTTACTCTTAAAAGGAGCAGCTTCAATTTTACCAAGATATGATACAAGACCTTCATAAGTTTTATTAGCCTAATAAAATATTTAAACAGCTTCATTCAAGTATACAATTATTTAAAAATATATTGAATATATTAAAATATATTATTATAATTATTATTATATGTACTTTAATATATTAAAATACATATAATATATTTTTTCAATACATTGAAAAATCCCTGAATAAATAGTTTAGCTATTTTCCTTGTTTATAATGATTAATGTACATAATTGATAGTAAATTAAGACAAAACATTATTATAATTGAAATAATAAATTTTATCATCATATTAATCTCCAAGCTCATAAGTTTATCCTGTTATAACTTTTTATTGAGCCATTTGAGTTCATTAAAGAACAAAGTTCATATTTAAATAAAGTAATAACCCAAAAAGAAATTTATGAAAGGCATAAATTTCTTAAGACTTCCTTTTTACACCACAAGTTAAATATATTGATAGTTTTAAATTTAACTTAAAAATGTTCATTTGTACATAATTTTTTCAGAATTTAAAATAAAAGTTACATATGCATAAATTAATGAACTCTGTTAGTACTTTATTAATTAAAGGAAATTTCTTCAATTTATTTTCAAAAATTGAACTTATTTTTTTAAGTTAAAAATACTTAATAATATTTACAAAGTTAACATTTTCAACTCCAGGCATAGTAAACACATCCCTAGGTAATGTATGGCTTATATGAGAACCTTTTTCAAGAATACTTTTTGTTTTAGCTGATGGTATCCATGCATACCGTCTCCGTTCATCTTCTACAGGATTAATAGATATTTCAAAATCATGAACAAATATATTCTCTAAGTCCACTTCAACATTTTCTAACATGACAAATGATGCTATTAGGCATAATAAAAACATGATCAACAATATGTTGTTAACAAATAAAGAATATTTAATCTAAAACCAGTATCTAACCATCTTTTATATCAAAACTAGGATTGACACTTTGACTATTGTCTGGTGATTTAATAATATCAAATATATCTGTCTTTTTATTAGTATTTATTTGTTGAAAAATACGACAAACTGTGGGTTCTTCTCGTTTTACTTCTGTTATTGCATGTGATGAAATTTGATCAAATAAATCAGATGAAGGTGACGGATCTTTAAAATACTCGTTTATAGCTGGTCGCAATTCTGGTGTTTTACGATCCATTCTCTACAATAATTTCACAAAATAAAATAGATACTGTTCTTTAGTGGAAACAGTAATTTTTCAGAAAAATGTTTAAAAAATTTCATCAAAACGTTATCACTGTATTTTATCAGACATAAAATCCTTATGGCTTATATTTGATTTTTATGTGAAACAGCTGACAAAATCCCGTTACTTTTATTTTTAATAATAATAAATTATGTGTATATATACATAACACAAGTAAACACAAACATGTTTTTATCAATCAAGTGGTTTATTTTTTTCTGGTTATATTTTTTTAATATGTAGTGTTTTTTATTGTGTATATGTGGACAAAAATGTAAGCTCTTGTGATTAAAGTACAAAATATTGTTATTCTAATTTTTTTTCATAACTTATTTCTCACATCACTCAATGAAATCGATTGGTTTAGTTAATTTTTTTGTTAAATTATTATTTGTAAATATTAATATCAACTATATTTCATTTTAAAATATTATTAACATATTATCACATTCTTTGGCTTATTTAATTATGTCATATTGTATCAACTCTAATATTATGGAGCTAGGTGTAATGCCATCACAGTTTCTTAATGTAATTATTGGTGAAAATCAAACAACTTCAAATTCTACTAAAAAAGTTCACCCAGATATGATTATAAAATCGGTTTCAAAATCAATGAAAAGAACTTTAGAATCGGAAACTACAATCATTCCAATCTATTCAAATTCTAAGTAAGATTGCAATTTAAATATAACCATAATCAATAAATTATTGTATTTTATATTAGACAAGCAAAATTGATTAATGTTAGTTCAGTTCATGAAGAACATGATGCAACAAATGATTTTCCAATTAAATTGCCTGCAACTTTACTAGCTGAATGCACAGTTGAAATATCAAATATGCCTAATAAAAGTATGAGGTAGGTGAAATAAAATAATTTTTCTTATAGTTCATATTTTAATATTAATATAGTAGAGCTTAGTATGAGTTCTATTGTATATATTTTTTTAGTACAACTGACTAAGAACCTTAATTCCTATTGTTATTTACTTTTTTTTTAGTTAACATTATAATGTGTTTTATATGGTTTAAGTTGGTAATGAAAGTAATTAATTAAAAATTGTAAACAATCATTTTGCAAGTTATTATAATTTTTCCTTGAATTACTCCATTTTTCCTAAGTAAACCAATTACATAGTACTTTGAATATATTTTTTAGTTTCAATAAATATAAAAACATAGTCATGTGTAAATTCTTGATTTAAAAAATTGGTTAAAATTTTTTTATATTTAATAAATATCATGGAGAAAAATTTAATATTCTATTATTAATCATATATTTTTTTTATTTATTTATAGTATGATCTCTTTATAAAATAATTTTAATGAAAATAAAAATATTAAATTTAGTTAAATTTAGTTGAAGTAATAATTTTATTTAAATATATTTATGAAAAAATTAGAATTTGTGTACTGTGCTTAACAATTATAAGTTTTAGTTTAGTAATTGTTAAAAAATTGATTAGTTTACATTTAGTTTAAGTATAATAAAGTTAAAAATTAAAAATATATTTCAAACAAAATTAGCCAGTGATAAATTCTTATTATAATTATGGTATAATATAAATTTATCTTTGTAGAAAGTTAATATTTTCTAACTGATTCAACAAAAATTAAACAATTAAAAGATTTTACATTAATAATTATAAAATGTTATATAAGTTACAGTTCTTTGTTGAGTTGCTAACTTAAAAGTTCACAAATATATATATTTAAATAAATCAAAATGGCAATGAAATTATTAAAAAATTTATTTAAAAATGTGTCACTTATTTAATGTAATTTGAGATATTATTTAAAATAGCTAATGACTGTTAAAAATAAAATTTTAAGTTTTTTTTACTGTAATAAGACACTCAATGATGTTAAAAAAATATCCTGTGTAACATACAAAAACATTTTCCTACCTTTATAGATGTATTTTTCATATATTTTATATATGGATGTTTTATATAGAAAAGATACAAGACACTTTTTGACTTTTTTTTTTTTATTTGTGGAAATTGTGAGTAATTTTATGCCTCATCTACTGATGTCATTGTCATTATCGTATGTAGTTTTTCCAAAAATATATTACTATTTAAATTTGATTTGTTATATATAATAATGAGTCAAAATTATTTATTTATTTTGTATCTCCTGTTAACTAATGAATAGTGAGTTATGTCCTTTTTCGTTTAAAATGTTCATACATAAATATGTTTTAATTATGACAACATATAATTTAATATGACTAGGTTTGGTTCAAATTAATTTATATTCATTCTAATGTTAAAATTTTTTTTTACATTTAGGCAACTGGCAGATGAAGAATTTATTGCTACAGTTCATAGTCCAATACTTCAAAGAAAAACTGATGGATTAGTAAGTCACAAAAAAATGCATTAGTATTAAATTTAAAATTTTATTCATCTTTTTATATTTTCAAATTAGCTGAAAATTTCAGAAAAAGAATTGTCAGATGTTCATGATATGATAACCCGTGTCGAAGCTGTTTACTCAGATGATGAAGATTCATCAAAATTTGTAGATTCTAGAGATGAAACTCAACAATCTGACAACACATTTCCATTTTCTTGTGAATATTGTCCAAATAAGTTCAGTAATAGAGGTGCTCTTTGGCAGCATACAGTTGCAACACATTCTATTGAAAAAACATGTGAATGTAATTTATGTGGAAGAAAGTTTTATCGCAATTGTAGTCTAGCATTACACATGAAAAGTCATTCAGATGAATATAACTGTGCATGTACTATTTGTGGTAGAGAATTTAACCGTTTTACATTATTACAACGTCATGCTAAACTTCATTCAGAAGTGGCTCATTTTAAATGTAGTGCTTGTAACCAATCGTTTGAAGATTTAAATACTCTTCAACTTCATGCTACAGAACATAAAGATAAATTAGCTTGTGATCAGTGTAAGGCTGTTTTTAGTACCAAAGAATCATTAGATGTACATACAGAAGCCATGCACGGTGATCATCAAGATGATATTATTCAGGTGAGAGTGCAAGGAGGAGAAAATACATATGCATGTCGTTTTTGTGGTAAAACTTATGGGGCAAAAGCTATTGTTAAAAAACATGAGCTTATACATACTGGTGAACGTTTGAAATGTGATGAATGTGGCATTGAATTTACACAAAAATCATCACTTATGCGTCATACTAAACGCATTCACCCGTCTGTTAACTGATTAATAGTATAATTACAAACCCATGGACCAATTTTAAACATATTTCATTTTTTCTCAACTGACAAAGGTAAAAAAATTATCAGTTGCTATAATCAACCAAAGTTCTAAGATAGTCAAATATTAGTTTTATACAGAAAACAGTAGCAATTACTTTCTTTATATTGTGAATAAAGTCTTGAAATTTTCATTACAATGACTGATGACCTGATAGGTCTCTTATTTCTTACTATTTAATTAAGTTTAAATACTTATCAATTAAAATATAATGTTACTCTATTTACTCTATAAGACTAAAAAACTGCCTATGCATGACAAATTATTTATAATTATGAGCATCAATTATGTTAAATCTACAAATACAAATTATATTTAGTTAAATGTTAATGTTATGATAGTTTATAAATTTATGATATGCAATTCTTTTTTTGATTTTGTTATTATCCAGAGTAAAACATAGCTGTGATATGTAAAGACAGGTGCTGGATACAAGTATATTTACATAAATATTGTGAATAATATACCAAAATCCATTTTTAATATATTGCAAGATATTTCTTAATATTTGTCCTTTCTGTGATAATTCTGAAAACTAAGACTTTTACAAATAATTTTACTCCATAATTTATTCATGTATGATGAATAATAAACAGTTCAAAATATTATAAGTATATTTAAGTATTCTTGATTATTTTAAAAGTATAGTTTTAAAAATTGCACTTGAACAAACTTTTAATAATAACTGAAAGTCTGTTAATGTACAATTTTCATTTAGTGGTTATTGATATTGATAAAATTAGTATTAACTCAACCCATCACTTACTTTTTATAATTAAAAAAGTAAATATATATATTTTTTTTTTGTGCGTTTATTAAATAAAAAGTAATGTAGTAATAAATTGTATTCTTTTAATTTTTAAATATCTCCATTATTTAATTAATTGTTATTATGAGAAAAGTGATATGTTTTAAACACACACATATATATATATATATATATTTTAAACATTTTATAGCTATTAATGTGTTACTGTATTGATTAATTATTTCATATACTAATTATATGACTGTATTGCTATTTAAAAGTTCTGAATGTATATTTCGTATAGTAATGATACAAATATTTAAACTAATAGAGTAAATTTGTTAATTTCCCATTATTATTAATTTATAGCTGTTAATTAGTTTTTATACATTTATACAGTGGATTTTTTTATTTTATTGTTTAATATTGGTCAATTACTTATGAATTTTCTTATATATTTAAATAACACATTTATTGTGTTTTATTTTAATTTATAATAGAGTTATTTATAATTATGCATTTTAGTTATTGCTAATTAATAATTCAATTAAAACTAATCCAATAATATTTATAAACAATATATAATTAAAAATATAGAGATTGCTTAATATGAGTTAACTCACTATATTTTTATATGTCAATTATATTTCTTTTTATGTAAGTAATGCACTTAAATAATGATAAAAGAGATCAAACATTTTTATAATTTATTGACTGAAAAATCTTTTGTTTCTATTTTTATATTCTAATGTAGAGTAATAATTGATTTTTAAGAATACCGAAATTTGAATATATTAAAAACTCATTTAAATGTTAGTACAAAATTATTTAATCAGATTGAATCATAATTTTATGAATAAAATATATTCAACTTATTATTACGATTTTTTTATTTAATTTTATTCTTATACAGAGTGTTCAGTAAGTAAGGAAAGAGGTATGTTGTTATAAACAATGAACACTATGTATTGATTATGATCATTCTAATCATTTTTTCCTTCTTTACAAAAGGAAATACCTACTTTTTTTATTTTTAAAGAAAAATTTATTTCAACTAATTACTAGTTTTAGTTTCAACTTACGAATGCATGACTACACATAAATAAATTCCACTGATTCATGCAATACTACGCTGAATATGCAATGTATTTGGTTTTCATGTGAAAACTAAAAAGTTTTATATATATGATTGAACTTTTTGATTATTTTGTCTCGGTTAAGAAGTCTTCTTCAATGTTTGATATGGGTAACATTTTGCATAGATCTTATATTTATCTTTTACAGACAAATCTAATATTTCTGAACATTTTAGCTTCGATGCGAAGCTGAGAAGGTATTGGTTTTACTAAGATGTATTTTTTTTTTTTTTTTTTTTTTTTT